AACATCAGATAGTGCCCATTATACTTTTTTCTGTGCTATTTAAATCCAGAGTCAATGAATTCATGTGTTCCAAGTTCATTGTCAAGCTGAATTTTGAGGATGCTCAGAAGTTTTGATCTAACAGTGTCTATTTATCATTTTTACATTCTTTTAATATTGGAAACCTGCATTTCTATTTAAAAAAAAATATCTACCACATACAACAATGTTCATATAGTAGCACTCAGCAATCTCATTCATTCTTTGGTAGACCTCAAAGAGAAAGTCTTACATGTATAATGAAGGACCTATATGTAAGAATTATAATTGGAGTTTTGTTATAATAATACAACTACAAAGCATGTGTTATATCTGTAAGATAATACGTGTCTAACGTATAATACAGTCTAACAATAGAAATGTAATTTTTATTTAATATGTAAAATGAAAAGCTATAAATGGAATGAAGGATAATGTTAAGCCAATTAGTAAAAGATATACAAGGCAAATACAGAGCATGAACACATTTTCACATATAAAATATTTTTAGTAAAAAAAATAAATAAATGAAAAGGAATTATAGAAATTTCAAACGAGTGGTCTTGGGAACAAGAGAATACCCAGATATGTGAATTAATTTTTTTTTTTTCCTAAAAGCTGAGTGTTAAACTAATGTGTACTCATATATTTTTGTCTATATATCATAGTCTTCTTACTTGTCATAGAGCACATCCAAATTCATAAAAAAATACACTAAAATTGATCACAAATAATTCATTTGGCTTTTATCTGGTGAGTACTATGTTAAACAATAGTTTGAAATAGTCTAATTCATCTTGAAAAATTAATTTATACATTTGAATATATATTACTCCAGCCACAAGAAAACAAACATCTGACTAATGAAATATTTTGATGTGAAGTAATTTATATTATTCCATAATATAAATACTTGAAGACAATTATTGGTAAGAAAATTAGCCACCAAAAACCAAGAAAGAACTCATTTTCTATAACTCTTATTCCTCTTACTGGCATACACTAGATATTTTACAGCTGGCCTCTTTTGTGCCCTGTGTCTCTCAATCTCATTAAAGTACATTTTATTTATTTCCTGTGATCTTGGGCAGAAAATTTTTGGCAGAGAATGAAAGAAGTAAGCTCTTGTGTGTGTCTGTGTGTGTGTGTGTGTGTGTGTATTTAGGGGAGTGTGTTCAATTGGCAAACTAGCTCATGAGTATGCATACAAAAATTAAAAATTGTGCAAAAAGGGAGATCCACCACTCATCTGTCAGTTTGTTGTACTGTGATGACTTGCATGTCACTGTGAGGCTGGAAGCTATGAATCTGATATTTCAAAAACCAATGCATGATGGAGAGGTTTCACTGGAACTTCAAGATTAAGTCAAACTGGGAAGAAGAAAGGGGCCATCCATTTCTCAGAGAATTGGCTGGTGAAAACTTTATGATTAGCAATCAAACACTGTCTGATACATTACTGGAAAACTTTATGAAGAACCCTGAAACATTGTCCGATATAGTGCCAAAAGTTGAGGCTCTTAGGTTAGAAGGCATTCAAAATACGACCAAGAAAGAGCTTACTTCTCAAAGTAAAGTCTATCTTTATGACATGGATGGAATAAAGCTTTCAGGACCTTTATTTGCTGATTGGGCACAACTCAAAATGGCAATAAACCTCCACTAATAATTGAAACATGGAATATATGAAGCATGGATGTAGAAAAATTGGAAGTTGTCAAAATTGAAATGGAATGCATAAAGATCAATATTCTAGGCAGTGGACTGGTATTGGCCATTTTAAATCATACAACCATATGTTCTACTGTTCTAGAAATGACAAATTGAGCAGGCATGGGGCCTCATTCATTGTCACAAAGAATGCTTCAAGATCTATACTGAAGTATAATGTTGTCAGTGATAGGATAATATCCACATGCCTGCAAGGAGGAACAGTTATTACTATTATTGAAATTTACACACCAACTACTAAAGCCAAAGAGGAGGAAATTAAAGATCTTTCCCAATTTCTACCGTTTGAAATTGACCAAATATGGACTCAAGATGTATTGATTATTACTGGTGATTGGAATGTCGAAATTAGAAACAAAGAAGAATCACCATTAGTTGGAAAACATGGCGTTGGTGGTAGAAATGATACTGGAGATTGCATGATAGAATTTTGCAAGAGCAACAAATAATTCATTGTAGATACCTTTCTTTTACAACATAAATGCTGGCTATACATGTGGTCCTTAACAGATGGAATACACAGGAATCAGATCACCTACATCTATGGACAGAATTGATAGAGAAGCTCAGTATCTTCAGCCAAAACAAGGCCAGGAGTTGACCGGGAAACAGATCATTAATTATTCATATGCAAGTGCCAGTTGAAGCTGAAGACAATTAAAACAAGTGCATGAGAGCCAAAATATGACCTTGATTATATCCCACCTGAATTTAGAGACCCTCTGAAGTATAGATTTGATGGATTGAATGCCAATGACCAAGCAATTGACAAATTGTGGAATGACATCAAGAACTACTGTTCCTCTGTAGTCAAACCCTCATTCATCTCTAACCTCTGGCAACCACTGATCTGTTCTCCATAACTGTATTTTTTAATTCTCAGCATTTTGTACAAGTAAAATCACAAAGTATGTACTTTGACAGTGGTTCTTTCATGTATCACTCTGCCTTTGAGATTTGCCCAGTTTGTTGTGCTGTCTATCTATCTGTCTTTCTATCTATCTATCTATTTTTATTGAGAGATAATATGTTAACTGGATTTGTATCAAAATATGTACATTTTAAACTATCATTCAATAATATTTCATTGTGAATGAACCACAGTGTGTTTTTCCATTTATTCAATGATATTAATGATGTTGAATACTACTGTTAACCCTTAAGTGTATGTTACACAGTTTTGATAACTATTGTTTTACAAACATACAGATGCTAAAAAGAAACATACAATAACCAACAAAAGATAATCCTTATGATGGTCTTATAGTCTGATGGTCTGATGAGAATGATATCCAAATGTGTGTTTTTTAAGTGTAGACAGATCAGTAGGATATTTTAGAATATTTTCCTCTATGCCTTAGTTTTTCATATGAAAAAGGCAGACATTAATAACAGTTGTCTTTTATAATGTTAGGATGAGTAAATTCAGGTGAAGCACTTAAACCAACAAGAACTTATCCCATCATTATCAATATCACTCATTTTTAAAATCTTATTGAGGGAAAATTAAAAAGAAATTTAGAAGGCAAAAATTTCAAGTGGAAAGGGAAGAAAAACAAGTAGTAGAGAAAGTATTCCACAAGTGATGTAGAATTTAGGAGAACTTAAATATTTCTAAGGAACTCTGGTGGCATAATGAATATGGCATCTGGTTGGCTGCTAACCAGAATGCTGGCAGTTCAATCTCAACAACTGCTCCCTGGGAGGAAGATGAAGCAATTTACATCCATAAATATTTACAGCCTTGGAAACCCAATGGGGGGTTGCTAAGTGTCAGCATCAAATCTATGGCAATGGGTTTTGGGAAGTGAAATATTAAGGAAATGAAGAAGATAGAAAGGAGCCCTAGTGGCATGGTAGGTAAAGCACTAGGCTGCTAAGTAAAAGGTCTGTGTTCAAACTGCTCCTCCACTGGAAGGAAATGAGGCAATCTATTTCCTTAAAGATTTCACAGCATTGGAAACCAAATGAGGGTCACTATGTGTCAGAATTGACTAGACGGCAGTGTTTTATTTTTGGTGGGGGGAAGTGGTTGAAGAGGAGAATAAGAAAAAGTTGGGGAAGTTAGAAAACGAGGAGAAGAATGTAAGGAAGGGGGATGGAAGTAAGGGAAAAGATAAAAATGAGCAGGAAAAAAGACATTTTTTTTCCCATGATAATGCATTAAAATTCAGAGGTAAATCAGAAGAAAATTCAAATTGAGAGAATATACTTAACACTAATATACTAAAATTAAACTTAGAAATGATTAAATTTAGAAATAAATTTAGAAAAAATAGAAGTAAATTTATTTTTTTTAGATTTATTTAAACTTATAAAAAGATATTTTAAACTTTAAAATGTAAAATTACAAAGCATGAAGATAAAGGAATTTGTACTTTCTAATACTTATATTACTTCTGTATATTTTACCTCAATGCATTCTTTCTCAGATAAGATTATTTAATAAGAGCTGTGACATTTGACCATTCACTATCATTAGTCTTAACATTGTCATTATATTGTCTACTGATGTCTGTTACCAAAAGACTCTGTTCACAAATTCTCTTAGAGTATTATGAGTGTGATATTTGCAAGACCAACACTGGGGAAGAAGTCTTTATCATAAAATTCTGAGTTCGTAATCCTTGTCAATATAAACAAATAAAAGAGAAAAATATCACAAATTTGAAAATACTCATCTTTATTTTAAATACTTAAAGAGTGAAATTGGATACTCTGCTACTTGGTGTTATGTTAAATATGTATCTTTTTAAACTACTGTAAAATCATCCCAAGCAGGAAAGTGAATAGGTAAAGATGCATGTGAAATGAACAACATTACCCCACATCTTGGGTCATGTTGATGAGAACATAATTCTTGAATGATTTCCAGTAGGGTGAAAATTGTCAAAACGTCTCCCAAACATTCAGACACATCTAATGCTATGAAATGTGGCATTCTATATAGCACAAAAGTGAGATAATAAGATCTGATTACTTTCTAATATTCTTATTGCTTTGTGCCATTGAGTCGATTCTGTCTCATAGTTTTCATACACATAAGAGTGGGACTGTCACATATGGTTTCCTAAATTGTAATCTTTAAAGGAGCCAACTGCCATGTCTTTTTTCCTGTGTAGTGGCTGGTGGATTCAAACTGCTGGCCTTTTGTTTAGCAGCTGAGAGCTTAACAGTTACATCACCAACTCTCCTTAAATAGATTCCTGTAAACCAAGTAATCTAATATATATCAGTAAATATTAAAGTCATTAATATTTAAGACATTTACATTTTGAAGCCATTTTTCCACCAAACATTTTACCAAGGGCCACCTTTATGTCCTTGTTTCTCAGACTGTAAATGACAGGATTCAAGGTAGGCGGTAACAAAGAATAAAACACAGATATAAAGAAGTTCATTGATGATAGGGATTTGAAGACTGAACCTAAGTATGCAATAAATCCAGAAGACAGAAACAAGATCACCACAGTCAGATGGGGAATACATGTAGAGAAAGTTTTGAACCTTCCTTGAGTAGATGGAATGCTTAAGACAGCTGAGAAAATGTGAACATAGGAAACAATCATTAAAATAAAACACACAAAAGTAAAACAACAGCTAGCAATGATAAAAATATATTCTAAAATATGCTCCCCAGAACAAGCAAGTGTAAGTAATGATGGAATATCACAGAAGAACTGATGAACTTAATGAGGCCCACAGAAACTGACAGAGAATGTACCTGCTACATGAAGGGAACCATATACACATCCACTGAGCCATGATGCAATAACCATCTGCACACAGGCATCTCTATTCATAATGATTTCATACTGCAGAGGATGGCAGATGGCAGCAAAGCGGTCATAGGACATGACTATAAGGAGGGCATACTCTGTGCCAGCGAAAAAAATAACAAGAAAAACTTGTAAGGCACATCCTGATAAAGAGATGGAATGATTGTTGGTCAAAGAGTTCATGATGGACTTGGGGACAGTGACAGAAATATAGCATATATCAATTAAGGACAAATTCTTCAGGAAGAAATACATGGGGACTTGGAGGTGCCGGTCAGTGGTGGTGAGGGTGACAATGAGGAGGTTTCCCATCAGTGCTGTCAGGTAAATGAGGAAGAAGAGGACTATATATAGTCTCTGCAACACCCAGTTATCAGGGAATCCCAGGAGCAAGAATTCCATTATGATGGTTGTGTTGGCTATTTCCTGAGACATGTTGATTCTTGTCTAGAAATTTAAGAAATATGTCATTTACCTTTTTCACTTATATCATCAGAACCTACCTCTTTTGTTGGTTCTCTAATTTATTCTATTGTATTCTGAGGAACATTTTTAAGATAATCAGAGAAGTCTCAGTGAATGTTACATCTTATAAACTGTAATCTATTTAGGCACAGTAAATTATATTAAGAGAGTCTTTAAAAGCAAGTTATACTAATTTATCATTTTGTTGCCTTAGGTAATGAAATACATCTTATACATATGCAAGATCACAACTAGATCAACGACATTTTTACAAAAGTTTCAAAATAAGCTTATCATATATGAGCTATCTTTGAAGATTTAATAGAATCCTAGAAGGATCTCCCCTTTTTTCCTGCTCATATCAACTGTTCAGAATGGGCAACTGGTTACCATGTGTCTAATAATCAAAATTAATATATAATAATGTATTACTTTCCCAAAAAGAAAGTTATATATAATCAGGTAAAATAAATGTACTTACTTAAACATACAAAACACTAAAATGAGTAGGCCTATTGCATAAGGAATGTTATGGTAGATGCACATCTCTTGACAGAAATTCACTTACCTAATTCAAATACACTCTCCCTAATTTCAGGTGTCCATTCTTTAAAATGAAATGGAAAAATGAAAGCTGAGAATGAGATTGACCGAGAATGCTTTCTCATAAAGTTAGAAAGCCTGAATGAGGTGATTCTTTGTTCAACAGGAAATATATTTCTTTTTTATATACTTCTACTGCTCTGGTTTCCTATGCATTTTCTCTGTTATAGACTTTGCTGAGTTTTGTGTATGGGGCACAGGTTAAAAGGATATTTATATTTCTCCTGAATTTTTGCAAGAGGTTACAATTGACTAATAAGAATGAGAACTAATTAAGTGTATAGACCTAAATTCCTGAGGGGGAAGATTATTTCCTGGATATACTATTGTTATGGACATGGACGATTTGGAGTACAGATATTTAGGTCCATTTTTCTGTAGCTTGCTTACCCGATGGGATTTCCTCTTATGAGACCTATCTCATCCAAAGTAGAATAACATGATGTAGGGTTCATTCCTTCAATAGACTATTTAGAAAGTTACATTTAGTGAAACATTTTCAAAAAATTAACTAAATGAACTTATCTTGACACAAGTAATCAGCTATGTTATGGTCTTCAATACCTATTTTGACGTTATTTTTGTTTTGATTTATTATAATTATAAGTCTTTCTTATAATACAATAAAGGAGCTTTGGCAGCACATTGCTTAAGGCATTTGCCTGCTAACCAGAAGGTTACTGGTTCAAGCACACTAGCCAGTCTGTGGAAGGAAGATGAGACAATCAACTTCGACAAAGATTTACTGCCTTGGAAACTCAATGGAGAGTTGCTCTGAGTTGGAATCCACTTGCTGAGAGTGGATTTAGTTTTGGTTTTGGTTATACAATATATTTAAGCGACCAGAAAATTCCCTCTTTCAGTCTCCACTCCATATCCTTCCCAAGTACAAAATCTAGGATATTTTATTGATATTTCTTTTATTTAATTTTTCTGTTAATTTGTAACAAACCAAACCAAATCCACTTTCTTCAAGTCCATTACAACTCTTAACGTCCCCCATGAGATTTCCAAGGCTTTAAAACTTTACAGAAGTAGATTTTCCCTTCCACCCACAGAGCAACTGGTGGGTTTGAGCCTCTGACCTCAAAGTTAGCAGTCAAGTGCCTTACCGACTGTGACACCAAAACTCTTTAATTGGGACATACAGCTACAAAAAATGATACATTTCCACATAAACAGAATCTTTCCATGCTTTGTTCTGCATACTTTTATTTCATTTAATTATTTTTATGAAAAAGTCACAAATATTGTTTCAAATATATTGAATCCTTGTTTATTAACTTTTGCATGAAATTCACACTTCAAAAACACTTCACATTTTTCTTCATATTACAAACAAATGATGAATAAAGTAATTGTAATATATTTTTGGTCATATGCACTCCTATTTTCCTAAAATAAATTCCTTGAGAGCAATTAATTGGTCAAAAAGCTTCGAAAATTTTGTAAATGCCACCACCAATCAAATATACATGGCAGATTTGTAATTTTATCTACAGCATTTCATTTCTGTGTACAGAATTTTTCATTTCTGTGTACAGGTGCCTATATAGGAATGTTCTGGTTACCTAGTGCTGCCACTCTGACAAGAATATACCACAAATGGGATGGACATAACAAACAGGAGTTTATTCTTATAATTTGGAGGCTTTAAGTCCAAGTTCAAAGTGCCAAGCTGTAGTCACTGGGTGAAAGCCCCTCAACCTTGCTGTCCAGGTTTGCCTCCTGCTCCCGGCCCACTAGAGCTCGAAGCATTTCTTCACTCAGACAGCTGCTGGATGCTGAGGCTGAGAAGGCCCAAGGTTGACAAGTAAAAAGGTACAGTCCTGATGTTACTAAACCACACGGCAGGCCATTAACTTAAGTCCATTGTAAGTCCCAAGGTCGGCAAAGCATAGCAGGCTGCTCAACAAAGACACAGCTGCATGCAGGGTCCAAGCATTCCGTAGGCTAGAGACCATTCTCAAAGCTTTTCCTTATATACAGGAAGGAGTCCACATCCCAAAGGAAGCTAGCTACTCAGCTGCTTGTGGTAGATACCACCATGGAGTGGATTGCCAGTCTCAACATGGGGAATAACTACCACCAGCTGCCCATCCACTCGACCAGGCCCAGCCAAGTTGACACACAAACATAACTACCACAAAGAAATTTTAAATTTTTATTAAATTTATGGGCAAAAATTATCTCCATAAGAAAAATTAGCTCATTTTTATGCCATCTTCAGCTACATTACTTCTAGTGAAGTGTAGAAATAGAGATAGATATATATTGTTGTTGTTGGGGGCTTTCAATGTATAGAAATGAAATATATTTGACAATAACAGGGTGAAGTAAGATGTCAGAGGAAACCTGCACTTCCTAACAAAAATAACACCTTATCGTAACAACATATCAACAGGAAGAAGTGAAAGTAACAAATGTTAATAATAATAATAATAATAATACAAAGTTAATATAAGAAACTATGATACACTTGAGCCTTTCTCTTCTCTCTGCTTTCTTAAAATCTATAAGCTGATATAAAACGATAGTTATACCAATGTATTGTTAGGTACATAACATATAGAGACCCAATCTCTATATTAGCAATAGGCACAAAAGGGAAGGGAAGGAACTGCATATGAAAACGTTTCTTAATTTCATGGAAATTAAGTTGGTATAAGTTTAAAGTATATTCTGATAAAATATAATAAATTTTGTCATTCATTCATGTTACAAGTTCTGAGTAAACTAGGAATGTAGGGAAAGTTTCTTAACTTAGTAAAGACTATCTACAACAGTCCTACAGGGAACATCATACTTGGTTATGAGTTCTGCTGCTAACCAAAAGGTTGACAGTTGGAAGCCACTTAGAGCTTAATGGTAGAAGGATGTGCCAAACTGCTTCCATAAAGATTACACTTTGAGAAAACCCAATGGGGCAGTTCTGCTCTACCACATAGGGTCATCATGAGTCAAAATTGACAGCACCTAACATGAACTTCACTGCTAACTAGAAGGCTCGTGGTTCAAACCCACCAGCCACTCCTCGGAAGGAAGGTTGGGCAATCTACTTCCATAGTGATACTGCCTTGGCAACCCAAGAAGGGGTCGCTATGAGTCGGTCGGGGCCCACTCGATGGCACATAACAACAACAACAACAACAACAACTTCATAGTCAATAGTGAGGGACTGCATTCTTCCCTTCTGTGGTCAAGAAAAAAGCAAGTATTATTCCTTCTTACTAATCCTATTCAACATTTTACTGGAAGTCCTAGCTAATGCAGGGAATCAACAAAATAAAATGAAATGTATATGGATAGGAAAGGAATAAAATAATTGGTTTTGTTCACAGATGGCATATTTGGTAGAAAATCCTAAAGAATCAACAAAAAATCTTGGAACTAATAACAACTTATAGAAAAATTGCAGGATATAACATTAATATGCAAATTCAATTAGTTTCTATATATCACCAATGGGAAATTCAAATTGAAAATAACAATGCAGTGCAACTCATATAGGCACCAAAACTGAAGTACTTAGATATAATTTAAGAAAATGTATAGAGGATCTTTACAAGGAAAACTACAAAAATTTAATGGAAGAAATCAAGGAAGAGCAAAATAAATGGAGATCAAAACATTCATTAATTGTAGCCAGGCACCAGCCAGTTCTTGTCTCATGACAAATGAAGCAGGACTTTACAGAGTCAATCAGATGGAAGAAGGTGAACCAGGAATGGAGATATTTTGAAGCAGCTTTTAAGGGCAACCCGGAAGGTGGTGAGCCAGGCACAATGGAGTTTGGAGCAGCTTTAAGGGCAGCCTGGAGGTAGAGCTAGGTGCAGTGTTTGGAGCAGCTTTAATGAAGCTTTAGCATGGCTTTAACAAAGACCAGGAAGTGAATGGAGTGGTTAAGAACAGATAAGAGAGAAGAACTTGTCTGTAAGTTTGTCATCCTGTGGTGACTTTCATGTTGCTATGAGGCTGGAGGGTATGGCACCAGTGTTGCAAAAGCCAGCAGGGCTAGTCGTGGCGGACAGGTTTCAGTGGAGCTTCCAGACTAGAACAGACTCAGAAGAAGGAAGAGGCCATGCCCTTCTCAAAGAATTTGCTAATGAAAACCTTGTGAATAGCAGTGAAACACTATCTGATATATCATTAGGAAACCTTATGAATAGTGCTGAAGCATTGTCCTACACAGTGATGGAAGATTAGCCCCTCAAGTTTGAAGGCACTCAAAATATGACTGGGGAAGAGCTGCTTCCTCAGCATAGAGCCAACCTTAATTATGTGAATGGAGTAAAGCTTTTGGGAACTCTAATTGATGACATGGCATGACTCAAAATGAGAAGAAACACCCATAAACATCCATTAAT